CCGCTGTTTCCACCATGTAGTCGAGGAAAGACGGTTTAGCGTTAGCTGAAAGTGCAAGGAATCGAAGGTGGGCGGGTTTTGGTTGACAAGCCGTTACAAGCGTACCCAGATAAGTCGTCTCGGCGGTCGGAGCTGTGACACAATGAAATTAAAGCCACTTGGTGTATTCTAATTATAAGGAGAGCCTGCAGTGCACTGACGCGTCCTTAAGCATGGCGGAGTATTTTACTGGTCGCTTCACGATGCGTTAATTCATTATTCAGTGAGAATATTGCAATAAAGACAGTTCTGTTTGTTGCTGCACCTCTCTTTGTCCCTCTCTTGCACCAGTAATACCATATCTTCTAGGTACAAGGCCATCCCCGCAATTTAGTATCTCGCGTTCTTCCAAAGAAGCCTCTCCTGATGTGAATTTACAGCTATTTCGAGAAAGGTTGTCGGAAAAAGTGCACGCGACAATCCCGAAAGTTATTGTGGGTGGCTTTGAGGGCACTGTTCTTCAAAGAAATTTGAAAGAATGGCCCGGAGACCACGGACATATGTTTGCGAGTACTAAAGGAAAGCAACAAAAGTAGGTTCGACAGCTTTGGTCCTTACAAACAGTGTATTGATCATATTCCATATTACCTTTCGGGATTGTCGCGTGCGCATTTCTTCCGACAACCTTTCTCGAAATAGCTGTATGTAGATTAGTGGAATCCCTACGGCACTCCCTCTGGAACGCCATACTATCTTCATCCTCCCTTGCCTTGGTTATTTTTGCTATATAGTCCTTTTCGTGCAACATATCCCGTTCCGTCACAAGCCTCATAAAAAGCCTCAAAGTCTCTCTAATCTCAGACAATCAACAGGCCCCCTCTCACCTGCCTCTTCATTCTTTGCTTCGATAAATAATCTCTACCTCAGAGACCCTTCCATTGCTTGTATTCCACTGTTAATAATCTTGTCCTAGTAACCACAACAGTTCCTACTATCGCTTTTACCGTCTTCACCTCATGCACATACCATTTTTCTTTCTCCTTTAACTCCAACCTCTGCCCTTCATCGTTGCACCGAAGAAAGACGAAATTTTAACCCTTTTTGATCAAATTATTTGAAGGTTTAAATTTTATATAAACTTTATGTAGTGTAAAATAATGGGTGTCTAGAAAACGACGACCTAGACAACGAAGACCTACGACCTAGAAAACGACGACCTAGAAACCCGGGGGGGGGGGTACTTTAGGAATTTCTGGGTGGGGATGTGCCGCTGGGACCCCGGAACCCTTAACCTTTACCAGAGCTAGTTTAGCTAAATTTTGCTCCCCTATACCAGAGTAAACTTCCCAAATCCCCCCTATCCTAGAGTAGCTGTTTTCCAGAAACTACTGAGGTCACTAGCAAAGTTTAGCCGAAACAAAACCTTATACCACAATCCCTAGTCTAGATAAACTCTTCAACCAACTGATCAGTTTCCTGAAAAATGATATCCTATTCTAGACCCAAACGCTCTGATTTATGTACCCTATCCTAGAGTAAACTGATTGAAAACCATACCCTTCACGACGGCACATACCTATATAGCCCATATATGGCAGTACCTCCCCGGGGCCTAGAAAACGACGACCTAGAAAACAGCGACCTAGAAAACGACGACCTAGAAAACAACGACCTAGAAAACGACGACCTAGAAAACGACGTCAGGGATGGGGGAGCTCGAAGGATTAAGAGGTTAGAGGGGTATAGAAGGCGGGAAATAAGAGGATAGTAGGAGGAAAATACGAACGGGTGAGAGGTGGGCTAAGAAGGAAAATTACAGAAAATAGTAAATATTATTTGTAAAAAAAAAAAAACGGCTAAGGGTATGAAGCCAGTGACTAAAACGGTGGAAATGGAAATGCAAGGTACTCGAGGTCTCCCTTCTGTTTCGTTTATCAAACAGGCGTTGCCTGTTATTGATAGATTTATTTGATGACAAGAATAGTGATTAACATTAATTCTATACATTGATTTAAAAGTATTAGGTTATTGTGTTTCAAACCAGTTTTTCAGTAGAATCGAAGTGGGAAAGAAAATAATTTAGTCTGTCTATAAATCCGCTTACCTGAAGAATCTGTTAAAAGAATTTGCTAACCTGTAAAGTGCGATGGTTGTAACGACCCGCCACAGAAGTAAGTTTACATTGAAGTTTTGTGAATTTAGCTACGAGATTAAGACGATTTGTGTTTGTTCTGATTGCGAATTATAAATGTATTTCTTTTAGATCGAATAATTATTAAAGCTTGGCTTGATGTTATGCGGTTTGTGGTGGTCATTTGAGCTAACCAGTTCCTAGGGGAACACCCTCCCCCTCTAGAACTAGCTGGGGTGGTGGCCAATAAAGTGTTTACTGATTAAAAGTATATCGGGTTATTTTTCATGAGCGATCCCGGAGTGTGTTAATAAAAAGAGGTTTGGGGGGAACGAAGTATTTCTAAAAGTCAAAATTGGGGAAATTTTCACGCTTAGGCGGAGATGCTCGATTGATTTATTGATTAACGTAAACCTTCGTTACATGTACCCCGCGGGATAGTAGTGTAGGAAGACCTACATCTATTGTTCTTGCGTTATTTTCATAAGGCGGTTTATAAAACCGTCTCTCGCATTTTTAAACAGCGGTTACAGAGTGCCTAGTGTGGTCGCAGGAGCTATTGTTTTGTCTAGGACATTGCATTGTGCATTGCGTGAAAGTGATGGAAGAATTAAAGATGAACCGAAGTGAATTTTTTAATTTTGCTCTGCTGCGTTGTCTCTATTTCACATGATGTAATAATTATTTGTGAACAATTCAAAAGTTTGCGTTCTACCGGAGAACTCACTGCATTTATACCACGCTATTGGACCTGTGAGGAAACAGAAACTCCTAGGATGATACGATTTAGGATCCCAATCACAGTTCAAATCTTAGGACACGTCAACCTTCATTGTGTCCTACACAATATTTCACAATTCTCGTTACCGGTATCCTGCCGTTCCATGAATGGAAAGGTAAGAGAAAATGTTGAAGCACTTTTTACTTTATTTTCAAAATATGAACTGTTTGTTTACGGTATTGAGATGTGAACAAAAACAGCACGCCTGATTTATTTCCTGTTTGATTTATGTGGGCTTAAACTTCCCGCCATAAACGACGCGCCAGTGAGGCAGTGTATATTAGTTAGATTTGACGGAAATTTGTTTAAATTGATATCAGGATAATAAATAGGTCAAAGCAGAGCTTTTGCTTCCAGTAGTCAGTCAGGCTGAATCATGACTTCATTGACCAAACTAAAGGAAAATTTGACTTGAGAAACTTTTTTGGTGGACCTCTCAAAGGGAGCACAATTGGTAACAAATTTGGTTACCTTTGCATTGGCGCCATTGCATTCAATCAAAACGTCTGGTTTAAATTTTCGGCAACTTCCAGTACCGAATGGAACAGCATTTTCGCGATGTATACCCAAATTTTGCTCCCGAATATCTTAAATTTCTGGTTGAATGGTTCTCATTTCGGAAAAGTTTCCGGAAGCCTGGGAACTTTTCCGGGAAAATACTGTACGAATTGCCGCTGTTTCCAAAGTTTTTTAAGTTTTGGTTCAATGGAAAGCGCCCAAAATGCATCCAAGAAATTGTGGTTTTGAGCGAATCGTCCGCACGTACTACGATGTGCAAAAAAGTGTGCAGCACGTGCAAATAAGACGTATTGACCTTAGCATTACTTATAACTAGCGGCTAGGAGCGATTTGCGTGGGTGTTTGGCGCGTTTGATAAGATTACACTGAGATTTGCTATGAATATGACATTTGCAGCTTAATAGCGAAATGAGCGAACAGGGACAGGGCCTGCAAGCTTACGCGGTTCACCTCTAACCAAAGCTCTCTTCAAGTGTCTCCCTTTTCCCTTATAAAGGTCCTCTGCTCACGTATTTTTTTCTTCAATTTTTTTTTTTGACTATTATTTATCAAAATTTGTTTTCTAGGTGGTCGTTTTCTAGACACCCTAAAATAATTATAATTTACTTTTACCGGTATCACTTGTAATAATAATAATAATAATAATAATAATAATAATAATAATAATAATAATAATAATAATAATAATAATAATAACAATAATAATAATTACCCATAATAAAAGGCAACTATGCGGTTTTTTAAACTATTGTGATGCTTATTGAACCACCATATAGTCATTGACCTATTGTAGCTCAGAGACTTTGGAACCTAAGTATTACAGTTAGTTACTATTGCTTTCTAGCTTAAGCTGAAAAACAAATTGGAAAAACAATCACAAATTGTTGTCTAGATTGAGCGATTAGATAATGGTTGCAAAAGACAAATTCATTTGACAACTCAATTTAGTTGGATCGTCCTCTTGTTAAACCTTTCTTTATTATTGGTTTCTTGAAACGGGATTTTGTTAAATCTGTCCTTTAAATGCATTTCCTGGTTTAATAATAATAATAATAATAATAATAATAATAATAACACTCTCAGAGGAAGAAACTCAAAGCAGATATAAATGAGAGACAGTTGAACTAGTATAACAGTAAAATGAAAGAGACTAGAAAAAGAGGTCCAAAATTTCATGTTGATGAATATGTGTCAATTAAAATTGATCCAGTGGACAAAATTTCACCCCTTCATCCTAATGTTTGAATTGGCAAAATAACTGAAGTTGAAAATCACTACGCCAAAATCGTGACAAAGTTTTTAAGGCTGAAAAGTTTTATATTTCAACAAACAGGTTAAATAAATATACAGCAACAAACATTCAGCTGGAATTTAGTACAGAAATAACATTTTCTGCTGCATGCAGAAAGGCTGCAGAACAGTAATGTAATGACATAATTATTATTACTATGCAAAATTCACCAAAAATAAATGACTAAAAACTAGTTGTATTTGTGAAAATTCCTGGTGTCCACAGATTACCTTGAATAAATGCTTACTGCAAGGAGTGATGTTAACTACAAACTAAGTGGTCTATCCAGTTAAATTTTAAATAAAGACTTGACCTAAAATTTTATTTCGAAAAGCATTGAAATTTGAAAAATTGCTTAGGTTTAAAAATAAACTAGTTTAAACAAAATTTGAAAAATACACTAGGTTTAAAAAAATATCCTAAAAATAAATTTGACCTGTAACATATGCTTTTTATGGGAAACACAACTCTCAGTTTTTTACATAATGTTGTCTCAACAAGGGAGAATACATTTGACTATTCTAAGGGACTGTCATAAAAAGAAGTTCCATTATATAATATTTCTAGCTGGCAAACATCTTAGAAGATAATCACCATTTTCCATGCTCCTTATAGCCATTCTGAAGCAAAGCCACAGGAACAACAATTTTTCAGAAAAGAAATGTTGCAAAATCTGTTGGAATTAATATAATGAAATAAAGTTGATTATTCAAAAGTGTCAACAACTTCAATACCAACAAGAGCATGTGATTAAACCAGACTTTGCTTTTTTCCCCAACGGATTCTAGTTTTTACACAATAAGATACATAATATTCAAGAACATGTACGGTGTAGCTCCCCAAAACTGATATTTTAGTAATATGGTATGTCTTGAACAATGACTTCAATACTAACTGTAAATTGGCATTTAAAATTTCAATAAAGACCTTTAGCATCAGGTTTTTCATGCACGGGACACTGCAAACAGGTCTCAAATATGAGAACGTCAAGTGGTCTTCTGGTCGCGTTTGCAGTTTACAGTTCAAGTTTGAATGGCAGGAAGGGCTTACAGCAGTACAGTAGATGACTTACAGGAATTTTTTTTGCCACTAACAATAATATCATTGTTC